TCCACCTGGAAGCCTTCTCTTGCCATCCTCCACCTGCTGAAGCCTCGCTGTGGCTGCTGCCCTAGAAGAGCCCAGGTGTGGGGCATCCCTTTTGACCCCCTTCCCTGTTTCCCTGCAGAACTTTGACCTAGAGGTGAAGGAGGACGACTCCCCCACAGAGGAGACCAGCCAAGGGGAGCCTTCCCCGGTCCACCTGAGCCCTAGGAACGAGTAACCCATGGGCGTCCACCTGCACCTGCACAGAGACCATGGGCAGCCCCCCCCCCACCGACTCAGCGGAGGCAACTGGGGACCCCCGAGGAGGCCAGCAGATGGAGGTCACCTCTGCCGCCCTTGGGAGGAGGAGGCAGAGGGAGGACCAGGCTTCCTAGCCCAGAGAAGAGGGGCTCCGCTGGGCCTGGTAGAGAACCTGAGGCTCATCCATGCCCCCCTTTCACTTCTAGAGGGACCCTGAGTCTATGCTGTTGTTGTTGTTATTGTTGTTGTTGCAAAGATTCCACCTGGAGAAATAAATTTTGGAAATCTAGAAACTAGCCTGGTAGCTTCTCTGAGAAAGCAAAGTCGCTCCCAATTGTGTGTGGGGGGGGGCGACCTCTGGTTGTGTTGCACCCCGAGAAAAAAGGGGAAGGGGTGAAGGTGGCCTGCGCTGGGTCGGGTCTTCTGCAGCAGATCTCTTGGAGGAGCACAAGCACAGGGAGCCCCGCAGTTGAGCAAAGTTGTGTGAGGCAATCACAGCCCGGCGTGATGTCTTCACAAGAGACCGTGATACCCCCCTGAAAGCCCCCTCCCCCAAAAAGGGACGCCTCCTGGCACCCTCCCTGCCCCTTTTCCAGACCAGGGGATGCCAAGAAGGGCTCATCTACACAAACAGAAGAGGAATGTGTACCCGAAACTCCGAATGCAGGTAGCCCTCGATTTACAACTCCCACAGAGCCCAAAAATTATGTCATGGAGTGTGAAATGTGTTAAATGAATTTTTGCCCGTTTTATGACCTTTTTTGCCATCGTTGTTAAGTGTATCACTGCAGTTGTTCAGTTAGTGACGTGGTTGTTAAGTGAATCGGGCTTCCCCGTTGACTTTCCTTGTCAGAAGGTCGCAAAAGGAGTTGAAGTCCACAAATCTTAAAAGTGGCCAAGGTTGGAGAGCCTTGTTTTACAGGCCCTCTAGGACTTTGCCTTGTGTGACCTCTCTAGGACTTTGCTTTATGGTAAATACAACTTGGCCAACAAGACTGGGGGGGGGGAAGGAGCCTTCAGGAGTGATCCAAACGAACCCCGTCAGTTAAACGGATCGGTTGCCTAAAGGGGATCTCCATGACCTAATCATGTGAGCAAACGGATCCAGTGGGACACATCATCCCAACGTCGGTCCAATGCAGGTTGTCCTTGATTTATAACAGTTCATTTAAAGACCGTTCAAAGTTGCAACGACGCAGGAAAAGAAGTTTTTCACGCTGACAGCCGCCGTGGTCACGTGATCAAAATCCAGATGCTTGGCAACTGGTTCGTATTTATGACGGTTGCAGCGTCCCTGGGATTGTGTGAATACATATCAACCAGTTCATCAATACGAACCAGAATTCTGGGAATTGAAGTCCACTAGTCTTAAAGTGGCCAAGGTTGGAGACCCCTACTGTAAAAGCAAGCCTTCTCTAGGAATTCGGACACTGTCTTCCTCAAGTGGCCGGTCCCCATTTCTCTGGGTTTCACAGAGTGAGTGGCCATTAGGTGGAGAAAGACTTCGTGGTCAGCCGTAATGGGCTAAAATGGCCGCCGTTTCACAGTTTCGGTTTGTGATAGCTGATCAATTCCCTGACCCAGCAGGAAGGGAGGATGGACTCCCTTAGCAAAGGGCTCGTCGCCTTTTCAGGAATCGGGGACACTGTGTGGCAGTAAAAGACCCCCAGCAGTAACTAGCACAGATAGGTGGTCTTTACTGAAAAGGCAGCCAAGATTAAGCTACCCCCACCCCAAGCAACAGCTGCAGCGATGGGTTTCAAAACTTTTTCTTACCGATTCGATGTGAGTGCGCACTTCATGTGTGCATGCATAGCGTTTGCAACTCACCTGCAAGCCGTGTGTGTAAAACAGCAAGTGGGAGGGACCAGTAGCTGATTGTCGGAGTGAAACTGGTTCGCTCACAGATTATTGTTGGAGGTCCCGGTTCGGCCAAACCGGTGGAATACCACCACCGAACAGCAGGCCTTGGAAGTGAAGAAAATGGATGCATGCTGGTGCACCGTTCTTTAGACCCGGCAGTTTTGCCCTTTGGTCAAGATGACCAAGTCTACCTTCGGGTGAAGATCTGGAGAAGATCCACCTCTGATCTTCACACCAAAGGCAAGCTTGGTCTGCTGGACCCGAGTGAAAGAATGGACGCTTGGCAAGGGTAAAACTGCTGGATCTGAAGGTGGCACCGCTATACCTGTGAATGGAGCGCCAGTAAACATGTTGTGCTGCAAGGAAAGGTGCCAGCTGTGGGGTGGATTGCACCACCCAATTATATTTGGCACAAGAACCTGCCAACTCTTCAGTGGTCTTCAGGTGGTGGTTCTTGGCCAGACGGAGCAGCGGAAAGGCCAGCAGTGAACTGAACCAACTCCGCGTGGTCCACTTGACCGATCCTTCCATGCTTCAGAGAGCTGAGCTGGGAAGTTGTGCAAGATGCGCGGGGTGTCCAGGGCCATCAGACACGTTACTTTTAAATCCCTACAGAGTCACGGCGAGGACACCTTCATGACACTGCACTGCTGTTGGGCGTCCTAAACTTGTCTAGAGTTTTAGATGTGCAACACTGACCCAACAGCGGCTGATCAAGTGTGCAGAATGGAACAATTTTTACAGCCGAATTGGCAAACGGCCTCTCCGCTTAGGAAAGGTGGGTTTGGAGACATACAGGAAATCGGGGGGCGGGGGGGCAAACGGGGAAAATGAAGACCCTGGGACCAGAATGGGTACATTTTGTAAACACATTTTGATATTTACATTTTGTAAACAATAAAACACATTGCCCAATATCTGTTACAAAGAAAATCTGGGGCGGAGGAGTGAGGTGGGGTGGGAAAACAGGATTTAAACTTACAGGTATATAGATTCCGATTCTTAGCCTTTGTAGAAGCTGATCTTTCGTATGAAGAGTTGTTTGTGTGCACAACAAAATATCTACACGACCCAATGCAACCTTGCCTTCTCCAGGCGGTGCTGAGGTCCCCGGGAAAGAGATTAAATGCAGGGGCCTCCTTATCATCCATTGTCATGCAGCCTGCAGGACTTGCCCTGCCTGTGGTCACCGCACTCATGCTTCAGGAGCACCAGGCATGGGTGGAGCTCGGCTCACACACCCCCGAGCTGTGTAAAATCGCCCCAGGGACCTAGCATGCCTGAGGTTAGCTGAACCCTGAGCAAAACTTTCATTTCTGGTTTCAATAAGTGCTGCCACAGCTCCCCAGAGGATGTTGCTGGCATTGCCAAAGTTCTCAACTTCGGTGGCACGCCTGTGTGCCCAAGGCATGCTGGGTCTCCTTCCAGTTCACCAGGACTCGCCAGGCAGGTCATCCTCTGGTAGGCTCCCTTCCTCCTCCTCCTCTTCCTCCTCCTCCTCCTCTTCGAGAGAAGCCAGATCGCTGTCCTTGATGAGTTTCAGGTTCGACAAATCGGGCCAGACCCACACGGCATTTTTGAACTTCTTAATGACATGCAAGAAGTTCTGAATCGTCCTCAAGAACGTTCGCACCGTGCTGTCAGTATGGGATATCTCAATGATGGGTAGGACCTTATGCTCTGCGATAGGCTGCGGGTTTGTGGGGTTCGGTTGAGCTTCGGGATGGGGTTGCCCGGAGTTTTCGGGTTGAGGCGTGGGTTCTGGTGAGAGGTGAGACGTGGGAGGTGAGGTTGCAGGGTGGAGAGGTTGGGTCTCCGAGTGAGTTGGGGCCTCTGATGTACTTTGAATTACGATTACAACATGGGTTGGAGTGTCAGATTCCGGTTCTGACGTGGTTTGAGGAGAATGTTGGGTCTCGGAGTAAGTCAGGGCTTCCGATGTAGTTTGGGATACGGTTACAGCATGAGTTGTGGTTTCGGATTCAGATTCAGATTCAGATTCAGATTCAGACATGGTTTGAGGAGAAGATTCGGTCTCAGATTGAGATAGGGCTTCTGATGTAGTTTGAGATGTAGTCACAGGCCGAGTTGTGGCTTCAACTTCTGGTTCAGGTTCTGTTTGAGGAGACGGTGGAGCTTTGGACGTAGATTGAGATATAGTTATAGACTGTGAAGCTTCCAGTTCTGGATTTGTTCCAGGAGAAGGTTGGGATTCAGTCTGAGATGTGGAGCCAACCTCTGTTGGAATTTCAGGCTCGGAAAGAGATTCGGTGTTGTGTTGTGTTGAGGTGTGGAGAGTGGATTGAATTACAGGTGTGAGTGGAGAGACGCTGTCCGTCTTCAATGGAGATGGAGGCTGAGGTGGAGATTTGGATTCCGGCTCAGATACGATTTCAAGCGGATGAGTGGTCTCGGGTTGATCTGTGGATTCATATAGGACTTTGGTATGAAGGAGAGATGAAGAGGACAGGACCTGGGATGTTGTGGGAGCTGAGGTTTCAGACGTGGTTGAAGTTGAAGATAAAGGTTGAGGTGAAGTTGGAGAAGAAGTTGGAGGTGAAGTTGGAGGTGAAGTTGAAGATAAAGGTTGAGGTGAAGTTGGAGAAGAAGTTGGAGGTGAAGTTGGAGGTGAAGTTGGAGGTGAAGGTTGAGGTGAAGTTGGAGAAGAAGTTTGAGGTGAAGTTTGAGATGAAGGTTGAAGTGAAGTTGGAGAAGAAGTTTGAGGTGAAGTTGGAGATGAAGGTTGAGGTGAAGTTGGAGATGAAGGTTGAGGTGACGTTTGCAGTGCGGATTCAATTATAGATGCAAGCAGAGAAGGGACTTTAGACGGAGATGGAGGCTGAGGTGGAGATTTGGATATTGGCTCAGATATTATTTCAATTTCAAACAGAGGAGTGGCCTCAGGTTGAACTGTGGATGCAGGTAGCACTTTGGCAGGAGAGGAAGACAAAGATGACAGGACCTGAGACGTTGTGTGAGTTGGAGGAGAAGATGAAGGTCTGGCAGGAGGTGAAGATGGCGCTTGGGTGGTTTCAAAGAGGACTTCAATTTGGAACGTGCCTGGAGATCCGGAGTGAGGTTGGCTTGTGGGCTTCGATGGGACTTCGGAGGTGGACCGGGACAAAGGTTGTGTTTTGGGCCAAAGCAGAGAGGGCACCGTGTTTGGAGGCCAGAAGAAAACTAAAGGCCGTTTTTGAGCAGTGGTTGGCAACGGAGCTGAGGGTCCTGTTGGGGTTTTGGTGGCTTCGGGAGTTGAAGGGGAGGTTTGGGTGGAAGAGCTGGGGTGAGAAGTGGATTCATTCTGGAGTGGAACCCTGACTGTGGGCATGGGCATGGGCGTGGGAGGGGGCTGGGGCATTGGGCCCGCCAGCTGCTTTATCCATGGGTAGAAGTGTTGTGTGTCAGTGTAGACACCCGGCTTGTGCACTTTCCCACAGCCCTGCCCCCAGCTTGTGATGCCAATGATCCAGAAGGGTTGAGAGCCATCTTCCTGGCACATGAGGGGGCCGCCGCTGTCTCCCTGGAACAAAAACACAGGTAAGGGGAGAGGAGTGAGGGTCGGTCTCACACTTGAAACCAAACAAGGAAACCACCAAAGGAGGAAGAGTATGGTGGGAGGGGAGTTAGATGATCATCATCTCCAGAGGCAATCCAGACAAGGGTGTACAAGGGGCAGCCTGTCAACCTGTAAAATATTCCTAATATTCCTGTTTTCAAGTTGCCATAAAAGGGGGCGGGGGGGGGGGAGAATCCGAAGGAGCAGAGTGGCAGTAAAACCAGAAGCGCATCCCACTTTTATCTTCCAAAGATTGTAGCTAGGCTACTGGATCTTCTGACTGTGAAATTCCTTCCCTGGAGAACGTGATGGATGACACCTGGCCCGTGAAGGTGCTTCATTGGAGAATCTGATTGATGACACTCCCAAGCTGGCTGGGGAATTCTGGGAGCTGAAGTCCTCCAGGCTTAAAGTTGCCAAGGTTGGAGACCCCTGTGCTAGTCCAGCCCCCTGGTCAAGCAGGAGAACCTGTACCATTTCAGACAAGTGTTCCACAGGGGGCCTTACCTGGCAGATATCAGCTCCTCCTTCCTCATAACCTGCACAGAGGGTGTGTTCCTCGATGGCCCCGTTGTACCAGCCGCTGCTGTTGCACTGAGCCACTGAGAAGCGGTTGACCCTCACTTCGTGCATGACGTCGGTCACCTCCCTGACTGCTGAAATGGAAAGCAGCTGCTCAGGAGACGCAGCCCCATTTCCCGCTTCCTCCCAGGGGGCTTTCAGGCAGGGCCTTCCTGGGTGGGAGCAGCAGGGGCTTGGCGCTGGTGGGCCCCAAGGGATTTAAGGGCCAGCATCCCTCAGGTTATCCTAGGTGGCCTTGAAGGGTGGGTGGGGAGTCTCCTTGAGGCCGGGAGATGGGAGAAGAGAAGGAAAGGAAAGGTGAAGAAAAGAGGAAAACAAAAGAAGAAGACAATGAAAAGGCAAGAAAACATCAAGGATTTGAATGGCGAGAGGGGAGGGGAGGGGAGAAGGGGAGGGGAGAAGAGGAGGGGAGGGAAGAGAAGAGAAGGAGGGAGAGATGAGAGAAAGAAAAATGGAAGGGGAGAAGAGAAGAGGAAGAGAAGAGGAAGAGAAGAGGAAGAGAAGAGAAGGAGAGATGGAAGGAAGAAGAATGGAAGGAGAGAAGAGAAGGGAGAGATAGAAGGAAGAAGAATGGAAGGAGAGAAGAGAAGAAGGGAGAGATGGAAGAAAGAATGGAAGGAGAAAAGAGAAGAAGGGAGAGATGGAAGGAGAGAAGAAAAGAGAAGGGCTTAGTTGCATTGATTCAAAGAGGAGAGGAAAAGAAGAAAGGAGAGAAGAGGGAGGAAGGAAGGAGAAGAGAGAAGAGAGAAGAAGAAAGGAGAGAAGAGGCAGCACTGGCAAAACCCAAAATGATTCCAAGCAGATGATGATGATGACGGTGGTGATGATGCATCAGAAGTTGGCAAACTGCAAAGAGCTGGGAAGTCCTCCTTGGCAGCCACGTTGTGAGTACAGACAACACTCACTCTGAGCTTCTAAAGGAGCTCCGGATTCCACAAATGCCTCCACCATGAATTAGTATCACAGAATGGCATTTCAATCCCACCCAGCCATACCCTCAGCACCCGGCAGGAAAATGCCACCTGTGCAGGAGCACAGAAGCTGCCAAGGTGAAGGATGCGGCTGTTGTTGAGTCCCACGGGGGGAGAGCAAAGGAAGGCCTTTCCTAGGGTTGGGCTTCTAAGGCGGGGCGAGGTGCCCGAGCCCATGTGGCACAGAGGAGGGCTTCTCACCAGCTTTCCCGAGGATGCCCCAGCCACTGATGTAGCAGTGGCTCAGGAGAGAGACGGTGACGGTCATGTCAGGCAAGCAAGCCGGCTGGATGTAGTCGCTGCATTTCACCGGCTGGTCCAGCTCCATCAGAGCGATGTCACTGGTCTCAGTGCTCCTCTGGTAGTCCTCGTGGATGATGATCCGCTTGATGTAGCGCACGTGGACCTCGGAACTGAGTGAAGAAAGCTTCCATGCGCCAATCACCGCACGCCAGTGCGGAAGGTCCCTGGGGAGAGATGCTGGGTCAGCTCTTTCTGACACCTCGACAGCTAGGTCCCAAAAGAGCTTTTTTTTTTTTCAAAAGGCAACTGGACTTTGTTTTCCTTCAAGACTGTTTCCTTCGAGTCAATCACTCAAGTTGTCAGGATTCCACCAATTGTCCTAATTTAATCATGAGCCTCGAGCCAAGCTTCAAAAGAATGCAAAAGTTTTTATTAGGAGCAACATGTCAGCATTGACCCATATGAAGCCAACTCTGCCACATGTAATTTATGGTCACCTGTGACCCTGTATTTCTTCCCTCTTCCCTGGGTGTGTCATAAATCGGATTGTCCAATGAAGCACCTTCATGGGCTGGTGTCATCAATCACATTCTCCAATGAAGGATTTTCACGGGCAGAAGATCTGGTAGCCTATGCTACAATCTTTGTAAGTTAAGTGTCGAATGTACTTCTGGTTTGAATGGCTGTACTTCTCCTTCAGGTTCCCCCCCCCCACCTGCTTATAGCAACTCGAAAACCATCATAGCAATGCTTTACAAGTTGACACACAAGTAAGTATCCACACCCACCGTTTTGGCTTTCCGAAGAGACCTGAAGACCCAACTCTGGCAACTGGCCTAGGGCCCCAACAGGAACTTGTCACTCTGGAGGGGGTTAATGGACCAAGGTAGGATCCCATCTTCCCATCTTTGAGCCCCTCTTCTTTGGGGCAGCCCCTCAACTATTAGAAGACTACTAATGTCACCCTGGTCCTTCTTTTCACTAGACTAGACATACCCAATTCCAGCAACTGTTCTTCATATGTTTTAGCCTCCAGTCCCCTAACCTTTCCCTCCCCTTGGACTCCACTATGAAACCCATCCCTCTGAGAGGTCCTTCCCCTTCTGGAGCTTGGTGCCATCACCACCTGGGAAGGTCTCACCTTTTGTTTTGGAAGCAGTGGGCCGCAGTTAGAATCCACCGGCCAGAAACGAGGGAGCCTCCACAGCTGTGCTTGTGTCCTGTTATCGTGGGGAGCTGCAGGCTGACGACCCAAGGCCATGCCCCAGGCTGGGAATCGGCTCCGCCCACCACTTGCTCACTTCGCCCATGTCTCAGCACCAAGGGGTGCCTTCCGCAAACACTGGATGGAGAAACGAGCATGGATCCCTGACTAGCAGCAGGATGGTGACCATCAGCCCAGGTGCCCCCCACCTCTCTGCAGCTAGTAGCAAGGGCACTTAGACTGACATTCCACTTCACGGTGCTTTACAGCACTCAGTTTACACCGTTAGCCTCTTGCCCCCAGCAATCTGGGTCCTCGTTTTGCTGACCTCAGAAGGACGGGAGGCTGAGTCAACCTGAACTGGTCAGGATTGAACTCTTAGCAGTGGGCAGAGTCAGCCTGCAATACTACATTCTAACAAGAAGGAAGGAAGGAAGGAAGGAAGGA